TATATATGTATATATATATATATATATATATATATATATATAAATACATTGACAAACATATGAATTAATTAATTGGTATGAGATTGTTTCAACTCAATTAATGATATTAAGTTTAAGTCTTGAGTATATAATTGAGTTAAATATTCATAAAGAGAATTTTTTTTCCTCAAAATAATTAATTCTATCTATCTCGAACACAATTGCTTTAAATTAGTGGAATCAAAATCCCCATGTTAAAAAAAGTGTCAATCTTTAAAGGAATTTCACCCAATTTTATCACACTTGACTATGTTTTGGTATGTTAAAATTAAAGTCTTGCATCATTTAGAAGTCCAAATCAATGAAGACTAAAATTAATAATTTCAAATTTTATATAGATAAAAACTAAATAAAAATATTTTACAAGGTTTGAACCAAAATTATTTATTTTACAATGACCTAAAAATAATGTTTAAATTTTAAAAAGATGAAAAAAAAATATTATTTATAAGAATCAAAATCAAAATACCTTCATTTTATAGGAACAACAAACATATTTAAACCTATTAAATCCTAAATGTATTATTCTATTTATTTAATTAGAGTTGTTTTATCTCCTTTTAATATTTATTATTATTATTTTAGATAGTCTAATCCTTATTTTTTTTTGTCATATTTTAATTTTTATAGATATTATTAGACCAAAACAATGTTTAGACTAAAGAGATAAACATTTACAAAAATTTTGAAAAATATGATTTTAAAGACTAGCTAAATAAATCTGTCTATTTATTTATTTTTTAATTTGTAATACATAATTATAAGTTAATTGAAATATTTAAAAAATATATAAATTAAAATAAATTATGTTATATATTATTTTTAATAATTTTCTTATAAAAATATAATTTAGTCATTTATATTAATTTATATTTTTTATATCATAATATTTTGTATTTTATATTATATTAATTTGAAAATTTGCTACTCTAAATATAAAATTGTTAATATATGTTTTTATATTTTATTAAAATTTAAACTTAAATATTATATTTAAATTTTTACATACACTTTAAAAAAGAAAAAAATATAAAATGATATTTTACTTAATTTTTAGTTTTAAAAATTATGATATTATGTTTATGTAATATTATTTTATTTTATTATTTAAATATTATTATTATTATATTAATATCAGTTTAACCACAATTAAACTATTGAATCTTAAACTAGGGTCTTCTATGGTTCAATTACATGTTTGATTTTAATAATGTTGCTATAAAGTAAATTTACAAGTAATTACACTCTTTTAATCATTTCCTCTCTCATTGTTGAAATTTATTGAAAAACATAAAATTTGGTAAGACATACATCCTATTTAATGACTCTCAATTTTGTAATTTTTAATAAATTTTAACGAAAGAGTAAGTGTGTTAAAAAAAAAAATTAGAGTGTGTTACTAGTACTCTTCGTATATAAAGACTTATGTTTCATCCTTATTACTGTAACTATAATCTTTTTCATTGATAAAAAAAAATCATGATGTCAAATTTTTAATAATTTTATTAGAAGGTTAAAATTTATATTCAGCACATCATGTTTTTGATTGAGTTATGTGTTGTGTTTGAATGATTTAAGATTATATTTGGATAACTTATGAGTAAATTTTCAATTTAATTGTAGTTTTTATAATTAATATTTTTAAAGAGTTACTATGATACCCTTGTAAATTGGGATGTTTTGGTAATAACTAATTTTTTAAACTAATAAAAATGACATAAAGTGTGGATTTTATTTTTCTTTTCACTTTTATTTTTTTCTTCTATATTAAGTGTGTGATGTGTTCTTAACAAACAAATAATCTAAGTAATTAACTTACTATTTTTTTCACCAAATATTGACCCAAGTATTTTAAATTATTTTATAGAAATTAAAATAACCTTAAGAAGAACACAATAAGATTCTATTTACTTACGTTGAAGGAGATTTTGTTAATTTTTTATTTAATTTACTCTTTATAATTTGTAGACAAATGTAAAAAATTTCAATTTATCATGACTCATAATATATCAAAAGTATTCTTACTAAATCTAAATATTTCGTATATATATTAAGAATTTTAAGAAAATATATATTAAAAGGAAAAATATAAATGTGTTAAATATCAAACAATTCTAAGTCAAATATTCAAATATTTAAAAAAATAAAAATAGTTTCAAAATCTTTTAAATATATAACGATACTATAGAATTTATCATATTTTTATTGATTTATCAACTTTACATATCAGTATAACTTTACATATAAGTATAGTGTGTGTGAATATGAGTATAATGATTAAGTTTGTTATTTGTGTACAAATGAGGACAAGTATTAATATTAATTGTTTCTTCAAATGTTGGTACGAGAACAACTATTATAATATCCTACCTATTGTTATTGATCCTTACCCATTGTTTGGAATATAATGACAAAAAGAGGAAAGAAAACTCAATTTTTTTTTTATATAAAAAAAAACTTTCTTTTATTTGGTACATACGAAAATGAGAAAGAAAGAAAAAACTTGTAGGCCCCATGCTAAAATTGGTTCTCTCAAATTTGGAGAGAAAACATCAAAACAAGAAAATAAAAAAAAATCTAAATTAGTATTATACCCTTAATAATTACAGTACATCATATACAAACAAAATTATTATATCTAATTTAATTATTAAGTCATTTATGCTTTTTTTTTCAAATATATTTCATTCTTTTCTCTCATTGTTTTCTTTATTATCAAATAACTAAATAATAATCTCATGTTTTACTCATTTTCTCTTTTGCTCGTTTGGTTTTTTACTTTCACTTGTTTTTTTACTTTATCTTTTTTCATAAACCAAGGAAAGCATTAGTGTAAGATCGGGGATAGAATCATATAGCACAGCTCAAGACCCCTCGTAGACAATTATATGCTATTTTATCATGCACTTGTGGTAAGAACTCCCAAAGTTAGCTACAGTAAAAACTATTTGGAGATGATTGAACTTCATAAAACTAATATGAGCAGTTAGGCTTATGCTGGTGTAAGTAAGCCTAGTCCTTAATATCTTTGTATAACATTTTTATTATACTAATACTAAGTGTACGTAGTAGTTGTGGTGTGATAATTTTATTTCCACATTCATGTTTTGCGGGGTACAAACTTACGAATTATATAATAATTTTATTTCCACATTCAAAATTGAATTATTAAATGTAAAACCAGGTTAACACCTGAGTGGTATATATAATGTTGAAAAACATACAGAAAGTAGAAAAAAAAATACTTTTAGAACAAACAATACAATATAAAATATGTACGGCTGGCAATTCATCATAACAATTAGATCTAATTAACTTTCAACCTTACAATATATATAAATGTGAGACATACTAAATCCATTAGTTCATGACCACTTAATGGAATGAGTAATGATTTTTGAGTCAAACACGAATAAGGTTTTAGTGTTTAGCTTGTACAAGTCAAGTTTCCAAATTTTAGAGGTTCATTTTTAAATGGTTTGTTGTAGTGTTTGAAGCCTTCATAGTGCGCCACGTTGGTAGATATGATACAAAAATATGCTCTCTCGAGAGATTTTTTTAGTGATATATATACAATATATGAATATTTTGGTTTAATAATTATGGGAATTGCTACCACCTTTTCTGTCCCACTTTTAAGATAAAGCAAAAGCTAGCGGGGAAATAAAAAAGCAAAGGAAGAAAAGAAATAACACGAAAGGAAGAAAGAAAAGAAAAGCAATAAAGAAAGGGAAGAAAAGAGAGTAAGCAAAGACAAAGGTTCTCAAAACTCCATAATTATTATTCAAATTCTTTCAAAACGGGTCCAACAAGTGGAGTTCCCCCTCTTAACAACCCAAAGAGAGGACCTCTCAAATTTTCTACAAAGACAGTGTTTGGTGTGGAACATATATTCAAGCCAAGAAAGGGAAAGAGAAAGAGAAAGAGATAGATCAAGAAACCATGCGCTAATGAGAACTAAGAAACCCTAATTTTCCGAAAGAGCGAAGAATAATGAGAAGAGGTTTGGGAGAGAGAGGGAAAAGGCTTAGCCCTAAAAGGAATGAGGGAGGAGAAAAGGTGCGTAGGATAAGGAAGGTGGCGCTGAGAAAGGGAAAGAGAAAGAGAAAGAGAAAGATCAAGAAAGAGAACTCATCTTTCTTTGTGAACAGCCAAAAATCTCAATCGTAAGAGGAGGCATGAATAGAGGTGTTCTTCAGAGCTCACCAGTGCAACAAATGATGACTGGAAACCCTAACTTGTGGAACATCAATATCAATAACATGCCTCCACAAGCTCCTCCTTTCTTGTCCACTCCTTCCAACTTTCCTATCCCTTATGCCCCCACTTCTTCTTCTTTTCCCTTTCCTTGGCATGAGAATCAAGAACTTCCTGAGTCATGGAGCCAACTACTCATGTATATATCTTTCTTCTCTTTCATTTTCATAAATACGCACACGCGCAGAATAGACCAAGTAACATGTCTGCATGGAAAAGTTTGGTGATTATATATAATTCTCTATGTTTGGTTATGGAAGGATCAAAATCTAATTGTTTTTGCCTTGTTGGTTTGATTTTGGTTATAGGAGTGGTATGGTGGATGCAGAAGATAAGGCTGTGATGGGCCAGTTTCATACTAAGAAGTTGGAGAACTGGGAGGATCAAATGCTAATAAGTCAGGCTTCAAATGCTTCTCTTATTGAAGTGAAACAAGAAGACTCGGTTAACAGCTATGTATATGGCCATCGAAACGAGGAACTTCAGTCATCAACGCCATCTTGGTCTCCAAAATCCTGTGTGACAAGTTACAGTAGCAACATGTTGGATTTCTCTAACAATAAGACAGATGCAAGACATCCACCACCAGATCGATCTTATGAGGTAAGGAAGAGATTAGATTTCAATCATTTCATAGCACACTCTCCTTGACCAATTGAGAATCTACAACTTTCTTTTATATATTCTTGGTCAATGAGATGCACAAACTCACTTTTCATAGAACTTTACTAATTAGCACCTTTAAATTTGGCCACAGAAAAGCTTTCTTGTTTTAGAGTATTTAAAAAATCATATTTTCCAATAAATATACATGCGCTAAAAGCAAGATCGTCCCCTATCTTTTTTGGTTTGAATCACAGTGGGTTCTCTTTCTAATTCTTTCTACATATTGTAGATCAAAAACATGATCAATTACTTTCATTCTCTAATATGTTCTTTAATAATTGACCAATTTTTTTTACATTAATAAACAAAGTAATTACTACAAAAGTTCTAATTTTTCGACTACCATTTTTAAAATTTTATATTTAATTAACCAAATTTTATTTCTTTCTTAAAGTGCAACAGCAGCGGAGCTGGTGGGGCTCTCAAGAAAGCTAGGGTTCAACCCTCTGCTACAACACAGTCTACATTCAAGGTAAAATGCAAACTACCAGACAGAAACTTCCAACCCTGAACTCTCTTTCAGGCATACAAACACACAAAAACACATGTGGGGTGTAATTGTTGTCTTTCTTGCTTGTCTAATTCCCAATCATGATGATTCTTTTTCTCTTGCTTCATCGTCATTTTACCATCTCGGAATGAGAATCGAAACCAGCCAAATAAAACAACAAAATATAACCAAATTATTAGCATGTGCATGTACGACACATTTCTATGATTTCCTCTTCTCAATTTCAGGTTAGGAAGGAGAAGTTAGGTGACAGAATTACAGCCCTTCATCAGCTCGTTTCCCCATTTGGGAAGGTAATTATGAGCCTTGCTTATTCAATTAAAATTAAATGCACATAAATTTAATTAATTAAATGGATTTAATGGTTGTTCATCAAAATTTATAAAATATTTTTGCACCTCCAATCGATCTGAAATCATACATTTTAATTATTTATTCTAAAATTTAATAAGCTTACCGTATATAATAATTTGTAATTAAACATATATATTTAAGATTACTTTACACGGTACATGACTTACTTCCTCGTTAAACATAACTTACTAAATAAAAGTATCAACATGCTTTATACAGAAAATCCAATGATAAAAGTTTAATTACCCATTCACATAGTTTAAGAAAACTTGAAAGTGAAAACCATACTTTTTGCAGTTAAATTTTTTCCCTCTCTTTCTTCTGCTTTTGTGCATGATATTTTAGAAGGAAAAAAAAAAGGTTCGTTTATGGCATATTATATAATTGATGACTGGGAATTTCAGTGGTGTGGTATATTTAACTTTTGCAGACTGACACGGCCTCTGTCTTGTTTGAAGCTATTGCGTATATCGGATTCCTTCATAGTCAAATTGAGGTGATGTTTCTTTCTTCTCTCTTTATTTTCCCAAACAACCACGAGCCAGTGATGGCACGCCGCACGCTTTTAAAGTTCCATTTCACATTCAGAGATTGGAATTGAATGTATACAATTTTTTCACAACAATATACAATAAAAGAGAGAGAAGGAAAAGTGTATAGTTACTTGCTGATATATAGAAGAGAGATATTTGACAAATAATATTATAGAAATTGTTAAATAAATAAAAAACTGTCGTATGAATAATATAAGCTTTCACATTAGTATTCTTCCAACATATTCTTTAATTAATTATTAAAGTTCTAATTACATATGCTCCCTTTTTTATCCCTCTTTTAATACAGGTCCTTAGCTCACCATACTTGAGGGGTGGATCAGGAAACACGGGGCAACAACAACATTCTGTAAGAAATAACATAAACCATTTCTAGTTCGTATAAAGGACAAATATTATTGGTGTAATTTGCTGTCCAATTTTTTTTTTAATAAAATCTTTGGTTTATCTAAAAAGATATTATATCCTGACCATTGTTATAAATTTTAGTCATAGAAATAAATTAGAAATTATATGTATATATTTTTATTTAGAAATCAACACTAATTATATGTATGTTATTTTGACTAAGTTGTCTTGGTAAAAGTTAGCATATAGTAGTACTTTCCTTCTGACATTATTCGTCTTTTAAAATAATGCATACGGAGTACGTCTTAAAAAACTATTAATTACACTAATAATGATGATAAAATCATTTTCTTAAATAAAATGTCTTAAGTAAATGCTTTTTTAATATTCTAGAGTGACAAATTATAAAGAAAAGTAGTATATATAAAGCCATTTTCACGTCCCAAAGCAAGAAGAATAATCACTTTCACTCTCTCCCCTCTCCCTTTCTGCTTCTTTGTTCTCTTGCATGTGGACGAGCGTACTAATTAATAGGTAATTATGTGGTACTAATTGAGTGATGATTGTAACTATTTAATGTTAGGTTCAAGGAGAGAAGAATTGTATATTCCCTGAAGACCCTGGTCAGGTATGCTTTTCATTGGATCCATTTATTAACCCCTTAAAAGGGTTTGGAGATTTTGCATTCTGAAAGAAGCTACCAGTTTTCTTACATTTCTTTTATAAAATTAAAAAAAGTATACAAGTAAAGAGAAATGTAACCAGCTTTATCAGATATAATATTGTTTATAAGTTGAATAATCAAAATTCAAAACAAGTGGCTTGTTTTACCGCATTATTAATTGTAAAGAATGCTTATTAAATTCTCATGTTGTTCCACTTTCTGGATGTAGCTGCTGAATGAAAACTGCTTGAAGAGAAAAGCAGCTGGAGAACCGGTAAATGTTCTCATAAAGTTCGATGAAGCTTTATTTCTTTTCCCTCTTTTTCTTTTATAATTTCTGAAGAGTTTTTTTTTTTTTTTATTATTCTAACCCTACTTGCTTTTGAATGTTCTATGGTTAATTAGGATACTCAAGAAGAACCAGAGAATAGCTTGAGGAGTAGAGGGTTGTGTCTGGTGCCAGTGTCATGCACACTGCAAGTGGGGCGTGAAAATGGAGCAGACTATTGGGCTCCTCCCCTAGGAGGTGGCTTTCGTTAGGTCAAGTTCATAATTAGGGCAGCATATACATATATATACATACATGGTAGCATGCAAATTAAGAGGTAAATTCATGGAAATGATATAACATCATGAGCAGTCAATCTGTTAAAAACATCTAAGGCTGATTGCTCATGATGCTATACTTCATTCCTGAATAAAAATGTGTGCCATAGCTATCCCTGACAAGTATTTGCTAGCCCTTGAAGACTTCATAATTCATGGAAATTAATTAAGCCTAGTTTTCTTTATTTTCATTATTAGCTTAATTAAGATGGTGGTACTAATGCTCTATATTTTATTGTATATGCAATATTTGTATGATTAATCATTTGAATGCTACTTTTTTAGCAGCATTAATCGATCAACTAATGACCATTATGCTCACTTATATATTTTTAGTTGTATTTCTTCAAGTTACCTTTATTTTGTTTCTCGTATCATTAAGAAAAATTTAAGAATCACCTATCATTAGAATATATAAGTAAAAAATATTCTCTTCTTATGAGTTAATTTTATACAATTGAACTAAATTCAAATTCACTTCTAATGAACACAAAAATTTTCACATCTTCCCCGCAAAGACATTCACATGCAATTGTCTATAGTTGGAAAACAATGACATATTATTCTTATCACCTGATATATATGTTCCTATATTTATTTATTTTTATCTCTTTATGTGTAGGCGATTAGAGTAATTAACCCTATCTTGACTAGGACAACCGCTAGCTAGATTCTTGTTGCCTACACCCGTGTTCATTATTCAGGGACTCTTCTATCCAAAGCAAGCTTTAGACAGTAATTTTTCTGGTAGTTATAATGAAAGGGGGAAAAAAGTTACTATTTTAATTGGGATATATGCCTAATTGCCATGTTGCATGAAATATGAGATTCCCATGAATAAGATCACTAACATTTTGGTATGGTAGAAACTTAAGAAATAAAGAGGAGAGGTGTGAAAAAGGTAAGAAACAAAAATTGAAGTTATTTGGAAGGTCAAATATTTGTCAGCCAAGAAATTAAAAGATGTGAGACCACACCTCTTTATTTCTTCACAAATCAGTGTAGAAATAAATAGTAAATACTTAAAATTCGTTCATATTCGATAGAAAACGCTTATTTAAAACTTTCAATCGAATACAAATTGTTTTATTCGATAGAAAGTTTAGAAATCTTATTTACTTACTTTTAAATGTTTATATAATTTAAATTTATTATTTTAATTAGGTTTAGTGTAAAAAGTATTACTCCAAAATTATTTATTTAATTTTAATTAGCTATTTATTTTATTTCAAAATATTATTTATTTAGTTATATAATTTTTATTTAAATGATTAAAGTAAAAATAATAATTAATAAAAAAATTAATTTTAATTTTTTATTTTCTATTTCTTTCTTTTTACTCTATTTAATTATTTATTGATTCTTCTATTCTCTTTTTTTATATATACTTTATTTTTCACCTATTTTTTCCATCTTATTAAACATACATAATATTTTTCACCAATTTTTCTTCAAATAAATAATTGAATTTTTTTTTATCTATTTCTTCTCTCTCTCTCTCTCTCTCTCTCTCTCTCTCTCTCTCTCTCTCTCCCTTCACTTTGCTCTTAACCAATCACTTAGCAAAGTTGGAGTAATAGCTCTCTCCCTTCACTTTGCTCTTAACCAATCACTTAGCAAAGTTGGAGTAATAGCTTTGTCATATAATAAATAGTCAACAAAGAGAAAGGAGAGAAGTGAAAAATGTATCAAGGGTATGTTTCATATATCTTTAGTTTTTTTAGAGATCATCATGGAACAACAAATTGAATGTACTAGGAAAAAATCTCATCACAAAGTAATAATCATTCAAAGTTTATATTTGAAAAAAATAAGGGCTCCAATAACAATGCATGGCTGGAATATTAGGATTTTTTTATATAAATTTCGACTAGTTAACTTACCAGTCCTTTAAGTGGGATGAATTATGTTTGTCGATCCAATTCTTTTGGAGAGTGAACTTACCTTGTCCTACTTAAGACAAGTTAGATGTAGGTTATTATTGTCACCCCTTGTTCATTTGTTAAAAGTCCTCATAGAGATAAATAACAAAAGATCAAGATAAATAAATGATATATATGATAAGTGATGTAACGTAATAAAGAAAATATAAAAAAAAATGAAATTACAAGAATAAAAACTCAAAGAAAAATGACAAAAGAATCATAATGTGTGTTTAAGTGGCAAGAAAATTTTGCTTATAAAAAAAATAAGTGGCAAGAAAATTGTAATTCAATAAGTAAATCAAGAGAAATTAAAAGAGTAACAAAGTAAAATAAAAATAAAAGGAAAAAAGTGTCTCAATGTTGAAGTTGTTTTTAGATATGCTCAATTCTTTGTTTTATGAACTTTCCCTGTGGTATGAACAACTTCCACAATGTGGAGGTAAGTTTACATCTAACACACAAAATTTATTTGAATCTACATAGAAAAATTTTGAGAAAAAAGTATATTTTCTAGTGTAAAGTTTGCTTACATTGTTATCTAATTTCAAACTATCATATTATGTTGACTCTATTAATAATCTCTATAAAAGCTACCTCAAATTAAATTTTAATTGATTAACTTTGTAAAATATATTTTTTTTAATTAATTGACTGTGTAATTTTTTATTTTTATTTTTTTTACCGACAAAGCATATCTATTATTTGAAAAATTATACAATTGATGATAGAGTTAAAGCCAGCATATATTATGTACTTAATTTATATCATGTCAAATTGTGTAGTTTTTTTTTTAATGTTTACTAACAAATAATGATGAATAAATAACTTGAATTAAAAAACACAATGAAACATTAATAATTAGTGAAAGAACCAATTACTTTAATTACAAATTTAAGCTATTAGTTTTAGTTGTAGTATATATATATATTCGCCTGAATAGGCTTATGGGCTACGTACTATATCTATACATAGCCACATAGGTGATCATCAACAATAATTGAAACTTAAAACCCCTTTGCACGAGTTGTGTAGACACATATGAATCAGCTACCAAGGATGTGACAAAACAGTTACACGTGACTTGAAATTCTGTATTTTATATATGAAATCAACGATATCTAATCTTACACACAACAAAATCTCAAGAGGGTGACCGACAACGAAATACCAACCAACCTATCTACATATAATATTATCAAAATAGTCACATATTTTTATTTCCCTTCAAAACATCTTTTGTTTCTTAACAAGAATATGTTGATAGAAACTCCATGTTTGGTTTTTGTTTTTAATAAATCACATGTACATATTCTAACAATCTTGTTTGATCCGAATAAAATTATTATGAATGAAAAATTCTTTATATCTAAATTTTTAATATAATACTATATACTCAAAACTCCTTATTAAAACAATCTTATATCAATTGATTCATGTTCTTGTTGATATTTCACGGTTGGCTTTCCCTTTGAAATGTGGTCCCATATGAGAAAAATGTAGCAACAATATGATGGCCGGCACCGCCATAGGTTGGAAAAAGCAAAGCATCATCTTGAAGGTAAAGAATTAGACCTAAATATCAAACCCACGCGAGAGCTCGTCATAATTTCCACTGCCCAATTATTCTTCGTTTTGATCTTCTAGGATGTGACATGCCTCGTCCATCGTGGTTTCTTTCTTGTTCCCGATTGCATCTGCCCTAAGATGTGATTTATATTCTTGTTTTCTTTTGATCATTAGCTCAAGTTTCACCTTCTTCCAATAGTACCTAGCTAGTACATTCAAATAATTGACGGTTTAAAATGAAGGATTAAAAGTAACAAAATCAAAATTAAATTAATGCAATGGGCCATAGTTTTATGTTGAGTGAAGTTGGACCCAATTAGTTGGCTCATATGGATGTACATGGTTTTGGGCCATTAATACAATATTGGGTCTATTTGTTTTACAAAAATTTCTAAAAAGTGATTTTTTTATTAAAATAAGTATTTTTCTTCTTTATTTTGAGGTGTTTGTCTAAATTGTTTTTTTTTCTAAATAAATACTTTTCTGTTTTTTTAAAGAAAAAACTCTAATATATTTTTTAAAGAATTGTTTTTAAAAAATTTGAACAAACCAACCCATTATATGAACAAATAAAAAAAATAATGAAATTACATACTAGTCGACCTTTAGCTACTTTACAATCAAAACACACGAACAGACTGGTTTTAATTGAAGTACAGTTCTAAGGAAATTAAGATAAGAAATGATAAAAATATAAGATAACAATCTACTCCTACCAAGTTTCATATATATTGCATTAATTGTGACATAAAAGGTGAAAAGAATTGGACTCTTGGTTTTACGAGTTATATTGAAGTGTTTTCTAAGTTTATTTCAACTTGACTGGGAATACGTAGTTAATTAGTGAAAAAGATTCGAGTTTGATTTTTGCATAATACCTATTTGACTTAGAGATAAGTGAGAAATTTGAAGTTAAATCAAATCTCATAATGAGGATTAATACTATAGTCTGCTCAAAGAATTTAAGTTTGTGAATAGTTCGGGGTCTTACGCCAAGAAACTAAAGACCCTAATTGTTACCAACAAAAATAATTAAATATAATTATTAAATTCTCGTTAGTATGATATTGACTTAAAACGTGTTAAATGATAATTTTTTATGTACCAAAAAAAAATGATAATGTTGTTTTATTTTTTAACGTTATTGTATAGTTAAAAGTATGTCATTCTCTCAAATTGAATCCAGCCATAAAAAAAATAAATAATAATAAATAAATAAATAAAAACTCAGTCAGTATAATGCATCATAAATCAAATTTCTTATGTCAGTATTTAAATCTTAGGTGGATTTATAGGATACAGAAGTTTCAAGACTTGGATAATGTACATACACAATGACAGGTTGCGCCTAGTGTCAATTTCCAATGGTTTGATACTTATTATAAGCTCGACATTATATATTGTTATATTAGAGTAAAAATATACATAGAGTATATTAAGAATAAATTTTTTAAAATTTATTTCACTCAATAATTTATATTTTATATTAAATTTTAATGATTTTACTATTAAATTAAATTTATCGATTAAAATTGTAAGTTTTTAAAAAATTTAAAAATTATTTAATAAGTATAAAAAATTTCAGGTTTAGGGATTGGATCATTAAATTAATCTATTAGATTAATTTTTTTAATACATAACTTAATACTTATATCAAATCTTATACTTTAAATAATTTTTTGTATAATGCAAATTTAATCAATTCAATCGTTAAAATTATATAATATTATATTCAAAATCATATATATCAAATTTTACTTAATTTTTTTTAGATATGTTATCCAAAAATAGATATTTACTCATATATATATATATATATATATTTAAATGGCATATTTACTCAATATTATATCTATATTAAATGTCAATGATACAACTGTTATATTAATTTTTTTTAATGTATATATCAAATCTATAATTTTTTCAAAAAATAAAAAAATTATTTGATATTTCGTTTAATTAATTTAAAGTAATTGATAATCATAATAAGATTTTCAATTTTTTTAAAAAATTAAATTTAATCTATACATTAAGAACTTTTAATTTTACGGTTAAATTATTAAAATTAAATATAGAATATGATTTATTAAGTCAGATAAGTCTAATAAAAATTATTCTTAGAGTAAGTGAATATCTCCTTTTATACACACACATATATATATATATATATATATATATTAATAATTCAATTATTTAATTAAAAAATTTATTAACAGATTAAATTTACAGCTTTTTAATAATTTCTAAAATTATTTAATATTTCATTAAATAAATTCAATTTAACATATGATATATTTTTCACATCGGTTCAAATGACAATTGTAGAGTTGATATTGTTCCTAGAGATTTAAAAAGTAGAATAATTTAATATTACCTATGAACCAATGTAAAAAATAAGATTTTACATCGGTATAGCCATAACCAATATAGAAGTGATTCATCAAATTTAAGGTGGGAATTAACATTTACATATTAACTAAGTAAAAAGAAAAAAAAAACATTTTTTCTGATTTGTTCAATACAATTCAAAATTTAATACAATTGATCGATTAAAAACGAATAAAGTAATTAAGAACTTATAAGTTCAAATGCTACTTGAAATACAACTAATAAAATAAATTCCTTTGCCCCATAATTGTATTTTGATTAAACAAGAAGTTAACTTGTTTATCTTGTTAAACACACTGAAAAAAAATATATCCCTTTTCTGTTTGCAAGCAAAAGGGGAAAAATATATATAATAAATCGGGATATAATATATGCATAGAATTTAATATGGTTTACAAAAACAGGGAGAGAGTACCTCGTGGTTGGATTTAACTAATCACGTGGATTAAAAAAAAGAAAAAGAACAAAAAAAAAGCTAAAGAAAACGAGTTGGTTGCTTTTACCCAAATGTATGCATATGATCAACACTGATTCTCTGATCAATCATGATTTATTTTTTAATCAATCCTTATTAGTTTTATTTTAAACGTGATCATCAAATGGATTTTTTTTTAATTTTATGTCTTATAGGCATTATTTTTTTAATCTTTTGAGTGGTTGACCACTCTATGTTCCATTCCATTCATGATGTTTTATAAAAGGGACCTTAAATTAGTCCTTTTGAGAACTTGGAAAGACATAACCATAGGAAGAGGATGGAGTTGTTGCTTGGTTTACTTGTGTTGTTATTGGGCACTAGCACCATTGCAAATGCTGCAATTTCTGAACTTTCTTGGAGGGAAATTAGCAACATCAATAGCCAAGGGCCATATTTTGGTATAGTGGTGCCAAATGCTTTTGAGCTTGATCCTCTTCTTCGTTCACCTAGATTTGTTGCTGATCACAAGTTTCCTCACTTTGATTTTGCTGGTAACTTCTACAACCATGTTTTATATTCAATTATTTTATGATGTTCAGTTTAATTTATATCAGTAATTTATTTAGATACAAATTTAAAAGATTCTTTTTTAAAACTTTCCTACTGAAAATAAAATTTATTTTTAGTATTTTAAATAAAATATTTTATAAATTTGTATCCAAATAAACTCTATATGATCAATATATATTTTGAAATACGAATACAGTCATTTTCATTGATTGATTTCTTAGAAATCACAATATTTAGTGTGTCTCTCATATTTTATAATTTTTAATTAATTTTAATTAATAAAGAGTTACCAACATTCCAATTAATATAAAGTGCATATAAAATTAAAAGACGAATACATATTTTAAAAATAAACATGATTCATTTATATGATGTTTACATTTGTAATGCGTATCATCAAGTTAAAAAAATATAAAGAATCTAGGAGTTTTAATTTCAAAGTATTGGTGATGTACCATATATAACACGACACACACATAACTACAATTTTGAATAAGTATCAATGCTTGTTGGCTGAATCTTCTCTTTTTTCTCCATTTGGTAAACTTGGCAATGCAGGAAAACATTTTCGCATTGGTGTATTGGAAAAGAAGAGGGTTATAGTTGTTATGTGCGGATTGGGAATGGTAAGACATATAGTTTCTATTTTAAATTCGACATAAACTTTTGGTTATATTTGTCTTTTATTTTTGTTGAAAGTGTTTTGGTTTGTTTTTGTTTAGCTAAATGCAGGTATTTCGACCCAATTGTTGCTTACATTGTTTGATGTGAAAGGAGTTCTCCATTACGGAATTGCTGGAAATGGAAATCCTAAACTCCAGATTGGAGACGTAACTATTCCTCAATATTGGGCCCACACTGGACTTTGGCATTGGCAGGTATATATACAAGAGTTAATCACTAATACACTGGATTTTGGCATTGACAGGTATATATATACAAGAGTTAATCACTAATACAGTGCCGGTATAAAGTTTTTTTACACGGACAACCAATCAGATTTTTTAAATTATTTTATTTTATTTTTATTTTATTAAATAAGTAACTGACATAACACTATTAAAAGATCTGATTGGTTACCAGTGTAAAAAAATTTTACACTGACAGTGTCTATAGGTGATTAACTCTATATATAATATACTACATGTTAGTTTAATTTAATGTCTTTTTTAAATGTTAACAACAAAGTCTAACTGTGCAGAGGTTAGGAGAAATAGATGGAGATTTCAGCAGAAAATTCGGCAACCTTGAGTTTGCTGATTACAGTAACTGCTCAAAAGATTTCGAGTCAAAAAATACAAATCTTTTGAACAAAGTATGGTATCAAGCAGAGGAAATTTACCCCGTTAATGGAAATCCTGAAGTTAGCCATGACATTTTCTGGGTTCCAGTCGACAAGACTTACTTTAAAATTGCAAGAAACCTCAAGGTAAGTTAATCCAATCCCACTTTACCATCTTACTATAATTCACTTGTATCAAGAAATTAATTATAAATTTACTTTAATTAACTTTTCGAGAAACATTTCTATAAAAAAAAATATAGGAAAAAAGTGAATGATTTTATAAGCTAAATTTATATTACTAAAAAAAGGTATATATGTGTTTAATTAAATCTTATAAAACTAATTTGTAAAGCGAAGATTATATGTTATTTATATACTCTTTATTGACTTTATTTTTAATAGATAGGATACTTGAATTTTTTCAATATATGCATTCATACCAGTATTATTAGATTTGATATGTAGATAAATATGGTGGATGGCTTTTTTTTTATGATCTAAGATAGATAAAAAAAAAAATTTCTTTTCAGATATACAACTCCTAATGCTTAATACCATTGAACTTAGTATGTGTATAAATAATGCTAACCTTTTAAATAGATATAGAATAACTTTTGTATTATCTTAAAATGTAGATTTGAACTTATAAGACAACTTTACAAAATCAATTTATAAGATGAAAGTAATTTTTTACTTATATACTCTTTGTTTTTACATAAGTTAATTTATAAAAACTTTTTTTTATTAACTTAATTCTTTAAATTTTTATTTAATTATTTTTAACTTATAATAAACTAATTTTAATTTATAAAAAAAACATTTAATTTTTTCTATTATGTTTTTCTTTCAAAAGTGTTTATGAAGAAGTTTATTCAACCACAAGTGTTTAATACTTGTTATTTTTTTTTTTTCTACAGAATGTTAAATTGGATAATTGTGTGAACACAACCTGTTTGCCAAGGAAGCCTATAGTGACAAGAGTAGAGAAAGGGGTTACTGCAAATGTGTTTGTTGACAACAAAGCTTATAGAGAATTTTTGCACTCCAAATTCGATGCAACTCCGATTGAAATGGAAACTGCTGCTGTTGCTTTAGTGTGTTTTCAACAGAACAAACCCTTCATTGCCATTAGATCACTGTCTGATTTAGCTGGTGGGGGTTCTGCACTGTCCAACGAAGTAGATGTCTTTTCCTCGTTGGCATCCCAAAATGCATTTGATGTTCTTGCCAAATTCATCTCCATGTTAAATTATTAATAGCTCTAATGTCTTTCTTAGAGTGAAAGCATAGAGTAACATTATTGAGAGAATAGGGGAAATAACGTGTTACCAATTCATTGGTTTCACGTACTCCATTGTGTACTAGAAAATAAATGCATGACCAAAATTGAAAATTATTTTTTATCAGCAAAAAAAAAAGGAATATGTTAAAATGTATAAGGGATACCAAAATGATGTATTAATTTGTGATTGATGGAATGATGGTGATAAATAAAATTTAATATGTTAACTTGTTATTAATATTGTATGAGAGGAATTGATGAAAGTGTACATATATGATGTAATTGTTGCATGAATTATGTGTGTGGCTATCTTTACATTTCGTATATAGTGTGATGGATGAAATATGTATTCTCACTCCTTATGCTTATATGTTTGTGATTGAATTGAACACCATTTATAATAATAAAGCATATACAAGATAATGAATTTAAAGAAGAAGAACAATAAAGATAAATATTACGAGAAATATTATTATAAATGTTTTATTTTCTAGAAATTTTGTTATATTTTATCAAATCCTTGGGGATGGAAGGGTGTCACACCTATGGAGACAATTATGTGTTTATAAATTCATATTCATTCTCTTATTCGAATAATGTGATATGAGACTTTAATTATATCACAACAATTTTTCCTTCAAATAAAATACCATGGTTACTTTACCCCCATTTGCAATAGAAGTTAATACATGAGTATATTCAATAGTGGTCCATAAAGTTCTGTCACACTCTAAGTACTTACATTGTCGCTCCACCATTCACTCACGATAATGGGACATGCCTCCTAACCCTTCATGTTACTAGGAAGACTCTTTTCTACGCATGGACCCATTATTAAGAAGACTTTTGATACAAAGGATCCTATGGCCGAATCCAATTGCCAACCATCATACTTGTTTAATCGATCATTATCAAATCTAATATCACTTGTTATGCAATGAGGGTTCATACATATATATGTCACAACACTAGTAAGAAGTTGTTCATTTCAGACCTAAGTTCTTATAGTTGTACTTTTGGTCATCTCATACAAAATGCCTCTTATCAAGGGAGACAATTATGTCTTTATAAATTCATGTTCATCCTCTTGTTCAAATGACTTGGGATTTTGGTTATAACCCAACAAGTATGTACTTGCCAATCAATCTTCCCCCAACCAGTTATCCAACCAAAACCTTACCTTGTCACCTTCTCCCAGCTTCCATTTGATCTCTTAGTCAAACCAATTTGATTGACATTGATCCCCACATATTGTTACCAAATCTCTCCACCAAAAGGAGCTTGTGTTGCTAACCTGCCCCTCATACATATTTTTTGGGTAACATTTTCATGTTTTCCGTTTGAGGAATCGCAATGCGAAGTATGGTTAACACTTTCGATTTTTGATTTTCATCAATGTCATACTCCGAAATTAGAAGCTTCTTTCATATATATTCCCTCTTAAACATTCTTAAGCATGATCATTGATGCTCCTGGCTTTTTCAGGTTGTAATTGGAATGGATCTTTCTGCTTGATAAGACAATATATATTAGTTTTAGAAGATAAATAATCATAGAACTTTGGAAATGATCTACAAGACATATTTGTGGAACCTTATCTGTCAGTCTATTCGGCTAATTGTTCAAGGAAGTCACACAATTTATTTATTTTTCCCTTCTATTTTTGATTATTTGTGGAGAGGGTTGTTATTGCCTATTAAATTGCAATTTAGATACATCAACAGTCAACACAAACAAATAAGGAAAGCATATGCGAGGTAAACATAGATTGGCCATAGACTTTCCAGCGTTGCCAACATCAGTGATTGGAAACTTTGACACATATAGATCATAAAGAACTAAGCAGTTGTTAAGAACTACAACCAAGATTGCATCAGTGTTTGCTGATTCTTTTTCGTGGGTGTTTGAAGCCACATGCTATATATGCAATTAGGATGTAATGATATAAAGCCACCAAACAAGTTTACAGTCCCTGAAACCACATGAAAAACATAAAGATTTAGTTCTTGTATGAAAAAAAATCATGCTTTTGCTGCATGATTTTCGCAGAAAATGGTTTTACAGAGGTGTGTTTTACTATATGTGATATTATATAGTTTTTGTTTTTAAAATATAACATTATTTAATGCAAGGTTTTAGATTGTGGTCTGCAATATGTGTTACGGTGGCAATATTATTGTTGTAGTATTCTCTGCAACCACAACAGTCCACAATTGTGATGCGCTTTTAAATTATATATTTTTTTTAACATAATCGTAATATAACCGTAATATAATCATAATAAACTTATAATAAATCATTTTATTTTATTTTATTTTTCAAAAACATACATAAATTCAAGTTTTAATCTATTAATCTAATAAGTTTCACATAAAACGTTAAGAGAGAGAGGAAGACAAATAATGATGATTGGTTGAAATGTTGAAAGGTGGATGATGCATTTTAAAAAAGGAGAAAGAGGTTTGGAATAAAAAATTAAAAAAAAATTGATTAATTTTTATTATTATAGAATTACTTATTTATCTTCTATACATATATAATAATTTTATGCTACAACGATCGCAATTCGTATTGTAATAATTATAATAGTCACTGGCAATCATAATTAAAAATCATAATTTTGTGATTTTAATCAGAGAACATTGCCATAATATGCAAGAAAGAAACAATCAATTACTTCATTTTGAACAAAAACTGTTAAAATGGAGACAACGTTAAAAAGGAGGTGTTAGAGAGGTCTCCTACATTCCTCTACTAATTAATTAATTTTTAAGTTTTAGGGTTTTCTAACCTTAATTTTATGCTATCTGTGATTTTTAATTAATTTTAAGGTTTAGGCGTTTCTAACTTTTAATTTATACTTTCTGTGATTTGCCCCCGTTATACCTTTCAATGATTTTCTTTTTTCTTTTTCTATCTAAAATAAAAGGCTTTTAAACCTGATACTACTACATGATAAAATCTCTATTGCTTTGTGGAAAAAAAAAATGAGACATAGTAATGGAAAAGGTTTGAACTATCACATGGTAAATCTTTGTTATTGAAAATTCAATGATTTCTAATGTTGGCTTGTTTATGATTAAAGCTTGAATTCATTAATTAAATTTATTAGCTTTGTAGAATTTGACTATTTCTTTATTTTTGAATTTTCAGATGTTGCACAAAAGTAGATGTCCTGCTATACACTCATGGAAGTAGAATGGACATAATGGAAGGAGAGAAGTTCATAATGGTGTTGATCTTCACAAAGGTTAAACAATAATTACGTAGCAAATAAACCCAACCAATCAAGCATCAGGATTCTAAAGCACAGTGACAGTAGCAGCATGAATTTATTTAGCAAAGACTATTGTGTACTAAAATAGCAAAATAGTTTTAGACTATTCCAAAAATGTGGGTAAACGAATTGCATTCAAAATAATAATATTAAATTAACAATTTTCATTTCTCTGCACATCTTCAAACATAGGTTTCCTCTTGCTTTTGCACTAATTTATGCTTAAATGTGTCTGTTCCACATAATCGATAAAGCACCTCTCAATCAGTGAATTATACATCTTCAAACTGCAATGAAACATAAATCTTATTATCTTAATCATGATTATAGGTTTTCAATTCTAAAAGGGTGCAAACTTGCATCACTTCCCATCCCATTTTGACCTAATTAGATGTCTAAAATAATCTTCAAATAAATTACCTTATTGTTGTTTTGCGTATCGTGAATAATTTAGAGGGAAATTAGCAATCAAGGGCCTTAAAATGCGCTTAATTTTTAAATTTAATATTTTATAATACAGTTTGCATATCATTAAGTAATGTTTGGCTCTTCACTAGTGTGAAAATAAGATTTTATGACACACTTTCTATATGAAATGTTATCCACACCCCATAAAAAGTAGTATGATGACAAATTTATAAATATGTCAAAATATTTTGTCAAGTATTATATTTGTCATATGATATTCTTTTAATGACGATAAGTCAACTCTTGTTATAAAATGTGTTGGTCAATTTTTAACTTAAACTTTTTTTTATATGAGTTTTGACTTATCTATCATATAAATAAACATTATATGACGAGTAAATCGTCACCTACCATAAAATGTTTTTTTTTATTATTTACACCGAGAGTGCGTTAGTTTGCACTCCATATATTGAGGCAATTTTATTAACTAATATTGGTATACTATTGAGTAAATCATCATCTTTGTTTAGGCGATTCTATTGACTAACATTTGTATATTATTGAGATAATTTTTGACGACACCAACAACCGTTGAGACTATTTCCAATGAAATCCTTTGTTTGTTCTCATATACTCTTCTCCTTTTTGTTCTTGGTCTCGCAACTATTTGTTCATTCTTGCACTCTTAGGTTCATTCTCGTGCTCTTCTTTTTTTCATGCATTTCGTGTATGGTGTTGGAATAGTTTCATGTAGTTAGTTTAATGAGAAATGCAACAAGATAAAAAGAACATGATGACAAAACGCGACGAGAGAAAAAAAGTGTGATGTCGTAACATGAAAAGTGATAAAAGAGAATGAGGACGACGATGAAATGCAAAAAGATGCCACAACAAGAAATAACACTATGAAAGTGAAATACAAAGAGATATAACGAAAAGGGAAAAACATAATTGAGAAACATTTGTTAATCTAAAAAATAAGATTTTTTATGTTGATTATTTTATAATCAAGATAAAAAATCAAAATATTTTATGTCAATTATTTTTATGACTGATATAAGAAGTTAATATTTTCTATACTGTTAGGATCTATGACAAATCTAAAATTGATAAAAAAAAAATATTTTATTCATTATTAGAAGTGTCGTGTACATCAATGATTTTAGCTCATAAGTATGTTTGCATAATTATAAAGATAATAAATATGATTGGTTACGATAAAATCAATAGTTTTCAACATATCATTTTTGTGTTTGTTATTTCTTTTGTCTCCATTTTCTATGCCTTACATTTATTTTGTGAAATTGGAGGCTAAATGCTAATTTTATCATTCCTTCTTTTCTTTACTTTTCAAGAGCCACAAATAAGAAAGCCAGCAACCTATCATGTTAGCTTTATCCCTTCAAATCAAGTTGCTTAAGATTCACTGAACCTATTTGGATACAAATATAACAGCGTTTTTGTAACATTCCAAATTTTCTACTAATGCAATATTTACTATTATTTATTTTTATATATGAATATTATTTTTTTATAGTTGTTTTAGTTA